GACATGGGTGCTTGGAACTGCGCTCGACCTTTATAGACAAGCAGCAAGGGTTCTTAAGTACTGAGCCATCTTGCCAGCCTCTGTTTGTTTTTTTTTTCTTAATGCTTTCACATTTATTTAATTCGTGTGTATATGTGTGTGTGTCACAATGCAAGTGTGGAGGTCAGGACATCTTGCTGGAGTCGGTTCTCTCTCCTTCCAGCCTGTGGGTTCAGGGGATTGAACTAGAGTTGCCAGCTCTAGTGATCTTCGTGGCATTTCATTGCTCCACAGTCTAATTTATCCTGTCTTCTGTGCCTTCTATTGAGAAAAGGAATCTTCCAGGCACAAGGAAGCTGAGGTGTGTGGCAGAAGAGCTGGCCCCCTCAGGAAGGGAAGCTGTTTGAGGTTTTGTTCTGGTCCTCGGGGTCACTTTCCTGATGTTTTTCTTTGATGTCAGAAGCAGCAGGCAGTGAGCTCCAATCTCAGATAGAGCTGATAATGGGGACTTCCACGCCCTGCTCACCTGGTGAGTGAGTGTCCACCTTCACCCAGAGTGTATCTTTTCTTGCAGAGCCTGAGCATGGAGTCCGATAAAAGAAGCCATTCTGTGTCACCTCAGGGCTTGTGACCCTGCCAGGTGCAGTGCTCTAAAAGAATGTAACACAAATTTTAGCACTAAAGCATTTTTGAGAGCACTCCTGCCATGCAGGTCAATAGACAGTCTGAGCCTCTCTGAAGTCTGTGTGACCCAGACCCAAAGTCACTGTTCTGAAACCAGGTCTCACTAAGTTACCCAGGCTGGCCTTGAACTTATTGTGTAACCCAGGCAAGACCCTCTTGTTACAATACTGGGGATTGAGTCTAGGGCCTCAAGCGTGCCAGGCAAGTTCTCTACCACTGCACTACAGTCTCAGCACTCAGGCAGGCCTTAAATTTGTAGTATTGCTGCCTCAACCTCCCTAGTAGCTCAGGTTACATACCTGCCCCAGTATTTGAGACAATTTTCTGTAAAACAAACAAAAACTGCCTACATTTTGGCTAAGATTGCTTTAAGTCTCTAATTTTCAGGAATCAGTGTAACAATATTGAGTCTGCTGATCTCTGAACATGGCGTCTCTCCATTTACTAAGATCTGATTTCAGGCCTAGGGCCGTTCAGTGTGATCATCCCTGCCGTGGTTCTGAAGCACGGATGTGCTTGTACTGCTGTCCTGCAGCCAGTGGTCTTCCTGATAATCAGCACCACAGTGAATGTCTGTTGTCTGAATGCGTCCTTGATTATTTACTTAGGATAAATCTAAATCCAGATTAACCTTGACTATTCTTTCTGAGATATACTATTCTTGCTGATACATATATATATTTTTTTTGTTTGTTTGTTTTGTTTGTTTGCTGGCTTTGAACTCATAGAGATCTGCCTGCCTCTGCCTCCTGTGTCCTGGGATTAAAGGTGTGCCCCATCACCCCTGGCTATTTTTGCCTTTTTATCAGTACCCTTTTATTATTTAAATTATTTATTTTTATTTTCTGTGTATGAGTGTTTTGTCTGCATGTGTTTAAGTGCACCTGTGCAGTACAGTGCCCATGGAGGTCAGAAGAGGGCGTCAGAATCCCTGGAACTGAAGTTACAGACGGTCGTCAGCTGCCATTTGGGAGCACATGCTCCTCAGCACCCAGAAGCAGTCAGCACAGCCGTGTGTCAACCTTGAAGTGAAGGACTGGGAAGAACAATCAGACTGTTACAAACACTGGTGTGACCCATAAAGCCCAGGCTGCTTGTGTCCGGTCCTCTGAAAAGTGCCACCTCGATTTGGGGCAGGGCTGTGTAGGACAGGTCTGCTACTGACTGCCTATGAAGCTGGCCACTGGGTGGGTGCATGATCCTGGGAAATTCCTCAGTTACCTGCCACCTTTTGTTCCTGTGTATAGTAGGGCAAGTGCCGATGCAGCTTTCTTTTTCTCTTAGAAGTTGCAGGAACTTGAGTCCAGTTGCTCTTGTGGATTAAAAGTGTTTAATCACTGTGTGGGTGGAGCTCATCTATTCATCTATTATCCCAGCACTTAGAGGATTAGGGCAGGAGGATCATGAGTTTGAGGCCAGCAGGGCTACATAGCGAGACTTAGAAAAACATGGGCCTGTTACTGTTGTTCTGTCCTGGGCCCCAAGGTCATAACCAGACTCCCCCATCTCCAGTCGTCTCTCTTGAGTGATGGCATATGTGACAGGGACACTAAAAGCCCCACCCTTGCCAAAAATAGCCCAGGGCCATTGCCAACATGGGCACACGGCCTCAGGACCAATGGAAAAACCTAGCTTCAAGTAAGGTTTGGAATTTAGAACTTTGAACTCTGTTGTCACATTTGAACTCTGTTGGCCATTTTAAATGTTACCTTCTAACTGCCCCTCCCTCTTTGAACTTCCCACTTCTGGGAGACTGGCCCATCAAGGAAGCAGAGGGGCCATCTACCAGTTCTGTGCGTGTCCTGGAAGCAGGGTATTTCATTGTCCTGAGGAGCACTTGGCCTCTGGACACCCAGTGTGCTGTCTGGATGCTTTCAACTGAGAGTGATCTTTAGTGATCTTTAAAGGTTCTGGACTAAATGTTGGTTCCTCCCTCACACCCGCCCTCAGGCCCCTTGCTGGAGGCTCCACTGTAGACCACCTCAGCAGTCAGTCCCTGTCTGCAGCCTGCCCCTGTCAAGCAGAGAATGCACATACTGGTTTCCTGTGAGCAGCATTGACTCAGGAAGGCCCCGCCCTCCACCCTCATCCCTTACGTACTGACCAGGGGAGCTGGCTTAACACCAAGCCTGACAACGTGAGTCCCATCACTGGGGACCAATGTGGTTGAGGCGAGAACCTACATATTGACCTCTGACCTCTACACATGCCATTGCGCATACACCCATTCCCCCAACACAATTTTTTTTTTTTAAGTAATTAAAAAATTTAAAAGAGAGACTGCAAGTGAGTGGGGCCTGGGGCCCATTGACTTGCTAGAAGCTCTCACTCTGGATGCCCGTTTGTGAGAGCTGAGAACAAGGAGCCATTTCCTGGTCAGTGTCATTGGGGTTGTCACCGCTGCCCAGGAAGGCAGGGAGGGCTTTTGCTGGCTGAGTCTGGTGGCTTGCACCATCAACACAGTCTCTCCTGTTTTGTCTGGAAGTATGGGCCAGCCTGGCATGGTGAGGGGACCCAGAAGGAGTCCTGTGTCCACTGCTGGGATCTGGAGGCTGCAGCCCTGGCTGTCACTGAGGACGCTTGGCCTCATTTACACCTTTGATTGGTTTGAACCTTCCTTGCAGCTTGCAACTAATCAGTGGCCAGATTCCTAGATGGATTTGCTGAGGTGTTGTTCAGTTGTTTTGGGTTTTTTTGAGACAGGGTCTCCCTGTAGCCCCAGCTGGCCTAGAACTTGCTATGTAAACCAGGCTGGCCTTGATCTCACAGAGATCCACCTGCCTCGTGCAGGGATTCAAGGCATGTGCCACCAAGACTGACCCTAGTTGTTTATTTTTAATTGTTTACTTTTTTCTTTTTTTTTTTTTACTTAGAGATAGAGTCTTACTATGTAGCACTGCCTGACCTGGAACTTGCTATGTAGACCAGGCTAGCCTCAAATTCACAGAGGTTCACCTGTCTCAGCCTCCTGACTGCTGGTATTAAAGGTACCAGCTTTTAAAGGTGCCGACTGCAGGCACCACCATGCCTAGCTTATATTTTGATATTTTGAGACAAGGTCTCATATAGCCAAGGCTGGCCTCCAACTTTCTGTGTAGCAGAGGATGACCTTGAACTTCTGATTATCATGCCTCTACCTCCCAAATAGACCTGTACCACCACCTGCCTGTCATCTCCTTTTGAAATGATCAGATTCCCAGGATTGTGCAAAAAGATGCCAGGAAGGTCCTGTGTGCCCTTCCCCAGCATGCCCAGTAGTAGCTTATCTGGCCTGTGACCAGACTAAGCCCAGATGGTCAGAAGTGTGGCCCTAACTGGGCTCATATTCACCAGCTCCACAGGCTCTGTGTGCGTGCATGTCTGTTCCATTCTGTGTGGTCCCACACTGCACCAAGTACCCACCACACCCCCAGAGCTGCTTGTTCACCGCAGCCTGTTAACTCCCTCAGGGAAAGTATTGATTCTTCAGAGCTTTTTTGTTTTTGCTTTTTCTGATTTAGAGAGAAAGAAATGGTGCATAAAAGCCAGGAGGGTGTCACGTGCCTTAGGGACTCAGCTACTCTGTACTCTTCTTAGATCTTCTGTTTGCTTTTCTCTTGAGTGTGTATCACTTTAACCAAAGCAACAAAGCCATATTTTTTCCATCCCTTGACATCTGTCACCCAGATACAGTGCTGTTGACCTTTGGCAAGTGCTTTTACACTCCACTTCTGGGTGAGTGGCCTGCAGTGCTCGGTCACTCTCCTTGTCCTCAGAGGACGGTCCTGGAGACATTTAGACTTTGTGCTGCCTTTAGTGTGTGACCAGTACGTGATCTCCAGTGAGATTGTACAGCCTTCCTCAGGCGCATCAAGACGACTGCCTGCTCAAAAGAAGGCCAAAGTCAGTGTCTGCCCTTCTAAAGGCCAGCCATTCCTCTGCCTGTCCCCTTGGTGGAGTAGATCAGATGTGGATTTGACCTTCAGAAGCAGCATCCGCAGGTCTGGGTAGGGTGGTGTGCAGTTCCTGTAATAGGCATGACCCTAATGTCTCTGGTGTCTCCCCACCAGGAAGTCTAAGCCTCCCACCCCATACTGCCTAGTGTGCTGTCTGTCAGGCCCTGTGCCAGCCGGGCTCTGACACCCTTCCTTTACCTATGTGAATCCTCACATCAACCTCGAATGGAAGCGTCAGTCTTCTTGGACAAGAGGAGGGAGACCTAGGGAGGTGAAGCAGCTTCCTGGTTGCCAGCTGGCACATGGCAGAGTTGGGCCTCCAGCTAGCCTATGACCTCTAGTCCATCCCACCTATCACCAACAGAGGCTGCCACTAATCTGGACTGCTGTGCCCCCTTACAGGTGAGCCCAGGCCAGAATGGGAGATGCCAGAGACTTCTGCCCTCACCTGGACTCTATAGGGGAGGTGACCAAAGAGGATTTGGTGCTCAAATCTAAGGTAAAGGGACCTCAGGGCCTGGGGCCACCCTAGGGCTGCCATGTGCTTAGAGTGTAGACTTTCTGAAACAGCAGCACTGCCCTCCCCCCATCTCCGATCAGCCTTGTAGATAATGGCCCCACTGGCGTCTGCTTGGGAGCTTCCTTTCAGATGCTGGGTCTTGCCGCCATTAATTATAGTTCAGAGCAGGCCTCTTGGGAGTCACTGATGCTCCATCCATTACTGCTGCTGGTAGGTACACAGCCTCCGTGAGGCAGAGAATGGGTGTACAGAGTTGCTTGTTTTTCTTTTCTTTTGACCTCTGGGCTGGAACCCAGGGCTTTGTACCCACGGTAAGTGGTGTACCTCTGAGCTATACCCAGGTCTCATGACATTCTTATTCAGGGAGCCTAAGTGGGAAGTGGGCCTCCTCTTTCAATAGCATGTGTTATCACTGTCTTCTTGTTGTTAATGTAAAATTTTGTGAGAAGGTAACACGGGCTGGGAGTGTGGGTCAGAGTGGAGTGCTTGCCTAGCGTGAGCAAGGCCCTAGGCCCCAGCCCAGCTCTGCAGAAAAGGTGACGCTGTCACAGGGTCAGCACGAAGCAGAGCATTGTGAAGGCACATGTCAAGGCGCTGCCCCGTCCCTCGGTCACCCCCAAGCTTGGTTTGTCCCATTCTAGTGCACACAGGGTAGATGCACTTGCTCTTCCTTCCTCTTCCCTCCTTATATCAGGCGCGGGCTCCAGCTGCTCTTTACGGCTGCCGTGTTCCCTTTTAGTCAAAGACCAGCCCATGTGGGAGCTCTCGGAGAGCTCTCCTCTCTGTCCCGTCATTTCTCTCTGGATCCCATCCCGACCCTCGTGGTGATGACAGCGCTGTAGCCTCTCGCCAGCTTAAGCAGCACTGTTGTGCTGGGCCTCCTGGGTCAAGGGTCACTCGCAAAGCCCTGCTCAGGGCCAGGTCTCCTTTCCAGGAGGCCCAGAGCCCTCATTCCCCTCGGTGTACAGCCCGGCCTCAGTGGCCTGGGCCTGAGCACCTGTGCCACTGGACCACAGACAAGACCCCCTCTTCTCTGGGTCTGTAGGTGCTATTCAAGTCATTTTATACCTCATGTGGGGTGGACAAGGCACTGAGAGAAGCCAGGCGCAAATGCGTGTACTGGCCGATTGAAAACAAAGTGACACAAGGCAAGACTTCTCCTCAAGGGAAGCGGAAGTTGGGGAATCTGAGAGGAGGGAGGAAGAACGCAGACTGCCTTCAGCATCTCTTTGGGTATCTAGAAAGTTCCAGAATAAGCCCACTGCTGTTTACAAAGTCTGGGGCAAAGCCAGAAGTGAGTGTTCACAATGAAGAAATGCAAATGTCCAAGGAACACTTGGGCAGGTGCTTGCTAGGATGTTGCTGATGAAAACAGTGAGTCCATCCTTCAGGCTGAACAGGGAGAAGAACCTGCCCCTTCATGGGGCCGGGGAGCTGCTGGTGGTGCTATGACCTCAGGGAAGCAGTTCCCTTTGGGACGTGAGCGCCAGCAGTAAAGACTACCTGAGGCTGTGTACCCTCACCAAGCACATGCATTCTAGAAAACTCTTGTAGCTGCCAAGGCGAGAACAGGAAAACTGGGCAAGTTGGTATTGCTATGAATGAGGTGTCTCTGTGTGTGGGCTTAGAAAGATGACCGTAAATAGGTGACAGGGGAGGGGGCTAGCTCAGCTGGTCGAGTGCTTGCCTAGCACACAGGAAATCTGTCCTAGGTGGTTTCTTCATTGCCATGACAAAATACTCTGACGAATACCAAGTTGGGGAGGAAAGGGTTTATTTGGCTTACATCTCCCGGGTCACAGTTCATCATCAGGGAGCCCAAGGTAGGAACTCAGGGCAGGAACCTGGAGGCAGGAGCTAGAGCACAGGCCATGGAGGAATGCTGCTTACTGGCCTGCTCCCCTGGCCCCTGCACAGCCTGCTTTCTTACACAACCCAGGCCCACCTGCCCAGGGGTGGCAGCACCCGCGCTGGGCTGGGCCCTCCCACATGACTCAATAATCAAGAAGATGCCCCACAGACATGGCCATAGGCCAGTCCAATGGAGGCAATTCCCCAATTGAGGCCCCTCAACCAAGGTATGTCAAGTTGACACTAAAGCTATCCAGCACAAAGCCCTAGGTTCAGTCCCCAGCACTTGGGAAGGATCAGGAATTCAAGGCCATTCTGGGCAATGTCAGCCTGGGCTACAGGGAAACCTTGTCTCAAAAAAATTTTTTAAAAAGGTTAAAATCATTTACAGAGATCTGTATTGCATCATGTTTTGGGTTTTTTGTTTGTTTGTTTGTTTCTGGTTTTTTTTTTTTTGGTTTGGTCTTTTTGACACAGGGTCTCCCTGTAGCCCTGGCTAACTCACTATGTAGATCAGGCTGGCCTCGATCTCAAAGGGTGCCAGGATCAAAAGTATGTACCACCACACCTGACTTTGTGTATGGTTTAAATGTTTGATTCGAAATGCTTTTATAGGAACATGATTTTAAAGAACACACTAGGAGGAAAGTGCCCTGTTTAGGTGACAGGCAGGTTAAGACCTCTGAAGCCAAGGCCTTTAGGGTGTCTGAGCAACCTGACTAGAGGGGACACACCCTACACACCACTCCCTTCGGTGGCTCATACCTTCTTTTTCTCCCACCTCCCCTTCCACAGGGAACCTGCCAGTCATGTGGTGTTGCTGGACCCAATCTGTGGGCCTGCCTCCAGGTAAAGGATTCTCGCAGCTTGGGGAGGAGGTGTGCGTCAGAGGGTGGGCTCGGTCTTACCTCTGACCTGGGAATACCTGACCCCAGTGGGCATTGCTGCTGCTCTGGTAACTGAAGAATGACCAGAAAACAGCAGGCTGGAGAGGACTTGGCCGAGTGAGCCCACCTGTGTTTCCATGGTGTGTGTGGCATCCTGCCTGGGACCTGGCATTCCTCCTAGCCAGCTGTCTTAGGCCTCTTCTCCCTTCTATAAAGTCTGGGCAGTCAGACTCACCACTGGCCCTCTACTGGAGACAGGGTAGAATGACCAGACATGACTCATGGGCTTCGCCTGGGGTGTGACCTTCCAGGGGATATCAAAGTGTTGCCATTGCTCTGGGGTAGAGTCGGGGACTCACTGTGCTGACGCTGTCCCTGCTGTGGGTCCCAGTCCTCTCTCGCCTCCTGTCTCCCCAGGTCACTTGCCCCTATGTTGGCTGCGGAGAGTCTTTCGCAGACCATAGCACGATTCATGCGCAGGTAGGTGTGGTGACCAAGCAGCCCAGGTACACTCCTTGCTAGCTGCCCCCCAGCTCCATCAACCTGCCCTAGGCCTCAGTGGCTAGGCCTAGACAGCAGGGTTGCTGAGGAAAAACCAGAAAGAAAGCAGACTTGAGCCCCCACTCAGGCCCTGTCTGGTGGCTGGCATCCAGGATGAGGACACACAGACCCCAGCTCCCAGACCTTAGGCTCGAGGGAGGGGCAGTCCCATGCTGGCTCAGGGCACCTGTTTGGCTAAGTTATCACTGACCTTATTTTGGATCTTACCCTCTAGGTAAAAAAACATAACCTGACTGTCAACCTGACCACACTCCGGGTGTGGTGCTATGCCTGTGAGCGTGAGGTCTTCCTGCAACAATGGCTGTCAGCCCACCTGCCCAGCTCCTCTCTGAAGTTCTCAGAGCAGGTATGGTCATGAGTCAGTTTGGCTGTTGGTAACACTGCCCAGGTAGGGGGCAATGTGACCTGAGCAGGAGTCCCAGGTATAGCTATAGCGTGTTGCAAGGAGTTCATGTCCACAGTGCTTATAAGTCGAGCTGCAGGCCAAGGTCTTTGTAGGGCTTTGGAGACACATGATCAGGAGTAGGGCCTTCCCCAGGACCTTTGTGAAGTTTGAGGGTTGACTAGGCCCAGGGACCCCTCAAAGCAGGGGTGTGGGGGCTAAGTAGGTCACAGGTGTTCCCTGGCAGTCCAGCATCCAAAGCATATCCTGTAGCATCTTGAGAGTAGTCACTGTAGTGTGCACTCTGCAGAGACCCTGTCAGAGAACAGTCTCCAAGCAGCAGGGCACAGCTGCCCTTCAGGGTTGTGGTGCCTGCGCTGGCCAGGGGCCAAGAAACCTGACTGTCAGACTGGAGTAGCAACCCTAGGAGGGCGGGATGTGGGCGCGGGTGTGGGTGTAGATGGAGAGGCGTGTGGGACAGTGTAAGTGTAGGAATGTGTGTGAGCAGATGTAGGAGGACATGGGTGTGCATAGGTGGGTGTGGGGGGTGTAGGTGTACGTGTACGTGTGTGGGTGTTGCTTCTCCTCACTTAGACTGTCACTCCATAGCTGTTCTGTAAAGCATTTATTGATTCGTGACTCACTTGGAACCTGGGAGATGTTTATCAAGTTTATTTCTTTTTAAAGATTTATTTTTATTTGTATGTTTCCCTGCATGTATGTAAGTGCACCACATATGTGCAGTGCTTGCCGAGGCCAGAAAAGGGAGTCACATCCCCTGGAATTGGAGTTCTGGACGATTGTTAGCCACTATGTGGATGCTGGGAGTCAAATCTGGTTGCTCTGCAGCAGCAGCCAGTGCTCTTAACTGCTGAGCATCTCTCTCTGCCCCGATCGTGAAATGTTCGTGTTTTGTTTGTTTTATGTGTATGAGTGTATTGCTTGTGTGTATGTAAGTGCACCCCTGTTGTGTAGTGCCCATGGAGGTCAGAAGAGGGCATCGGATCCCCTGGAACTGCAGTTTCCGATAGCTGTCAGCCACCATGTGGGTGCTGGGAATCGAACCTGGGTCCTCTGCAAAAGCAACCAGTGCTCTTAACCTGTAAACCACCTCTGTGGCCCCAGTTGTGAACTTTTTTTAATATTATTTTTATTTTATGTGTATGCTTGTATTGCCTGCATGTAGGTAAGTGCACCCGTGTCGTGCAATGCCTGCGGAGGTCAGAAGAGGCTGTTGGATCCCCTGGAACTGGAGTTACGGACAGTTGTTAGCTGCCATATGGGTGCTGGGATTAGAACAGCCAGTGCTCTTAACCACTGAGCCACCTCTCCAGCCCTAGTTGTGAAGTTTCTAATGCTATACAATGGTCTGTATGTCCATTTTGTGTGTTGTCAGTGACAGAAGTCTGCAGATGTGTGCAGTTAGGTAGCGATGACTTTAAGAAAACTAGAATCTGTTTTTTGTTTTTACTTTTTTTCTCCGAAGTGTCTTATAAAGGAAATACTCATTCACACACATTAAAAATGGCAAACCTGGAGTTCCCAGGCAGGGCTGTCAGCCTCCTCCCTTCCAGGATGCCCTCTGTTTCTCTGAGTTCACTGGGACCAGCTGGAGGCTGAGGGGCTGCCTGGCCTTCCCAGAGGAGGCCACTGTGCTTGGGTGCCTCCCTCCCACTCTGCTTTCCTTACTCTGGGTCCTTTTTTTTTTTTTTTTAAGGGGGGGGTTCTTTTTGAGACAGGGTCTCCCTGTCACTATGTAGACCAGGCTGGCCTTGAACTCACAGACATCCACCAGCCTCTGACCCCCGAGTGCTGGGATTAAAGGTGTGTGCCACCACGCCCAGCTCACTCTGGGTCTTTAATGCAGGACTCCCCACCATCCTCCCACCCTCTGAAAGCCGTCCCTATTGCTGTGGCTGACGAAGGAGAGTCTGAGTCGGAAGATGATGACCTAAAACCTCGAGGTACCAGCCCAGGACAACGGGTACTGTTGGGCTGGCTGGGGTTTTGACTAGTGGCTGGAAAGCGCCAGGGCCTTGACTCTGCTGTGGCACAGTGAGCAGAATGTGCCTTTCATAGAAACCTGGCTATGGCCCTTCAATTGTACAGCCTTGATCATCTGCACCTCTTTGTGGCCTCCCGGTCCTGGCTTGGGGCCCAGGCTGGGCATTGTGGCTGAGGGGCTCATTTACTTGGCACACCCAGCCCTACTTAGCTCTGTGAGCAGCAGCCACGGGGTGTCTGCTATGAAGCCCCCATGCTGTGCCCTCATAGGGTCTGGAGGTGGGAAGCTCAGTGGAAAGAGACTCACCAACTCTCCTCTGTTACTTCCAGGCCTCACCGGCATGAAGAACCTTGGGAACTCCTGTTACATGAATGCAGCCTTGCAGGCCCTGTCCAACTGGTAGGTCAGTCTCTCCTGGGGGAGGGAGAGCAGCAGGAGCTTCCCTGGGAAAGCCCTAGAAACAGCAGCAGCCTCCACCCTGTGCTGTGCATGTTGCCCCTATACACATGATAAAATGTACTCCAGAACCCCTAAAGCAAAGCATACCCACCTTCCCTCTCATGCTATATAGCCCTCAGATGACCAGAGGAGGAGTGGTGGGCACAGGGGTGCTCAGCACTCCTGTCTCTGGGAAACTGTTCAAAGGCCATTGGGGCATAGGTGGAACTCGGTGGTGGAATATTTGCCTAGAATGTGCAAGGCCCCGGGTTTAATCTCCAGCACTGTGTACACATGGCCCATCTGCAAAGGAGTGTAAATTCATTGTAGCCCAACCTTACAGGGACAGACTGAAATATTTACTAAAGTACAAGTGGAAAGATTAGGTTCCTGAGCTTTGTGTTGTGGGCCTATTTGGTTGGGGGTCTCTACCCAGAAGAGGTTGAGAGTTAAATATAGTTATTGTTTCTCTCTCTCTCTCTCACACACACACACACAAATGATGTCAAACTGACAGCAACATAAAGCAAACCCAGCAGCCCTCCCCTCCTCCCCTATATATAGTTGTGTGTGTGTTAAGAGGTTACACACACACACACACCCCAGGTGGGAGAGAGGACCAGAGATGCATGTCTAGGAAAGTCGGAATTACAGCTGCCAGGTGCTCAGTGCCACTGTCCTCGTATGGCCAGTTAATACTATTCCTTTACCTGTATTTTCTTTTCTTTTTTAACTATAAATGTGTATTTTAATGTGGTGTAATAATGTCTCAAAACATGAGGAAATATCCTGGAGTGGTAGGGCACACCTCTGACCCCAGCACTGGGAAGGCAGAGGTGGGTGGATCTCTCCCTGAGACGTGGCCCTGGCAAGTCCTGCAGTGGGCACCGGGAGGAGGAGGCAGCGCCATCCATGTCCATGCAGCATCGCAGCCCAGGGCCCTGTGGCAGGAAGCTCCCATCTGACCCCAGAGGGAGGACTCATTTCTTGTGACTGACAAGGCTTTGTGCCTGGCAGATCCACCACCAATGACTTCTGCCACACAGTTCTGGAGGCCAAGGTAGAAGTAGGTTTCTTCCCAGGCCCGCTCCTCAGCTATGGATGGCTTTGCTCTCACTATGTCCTCACGGGGTCTTTCCTATGTGCACAGGTCTGGTTGCTGTGTGTGTCCAAACTTCTTGTAAGGACACCAGTGAGATTGGCCTGAGACCTGTCCCAGTGCCCCATAGTAACCTCACTACCTCTTTAAAGTCCCTGTCTCTCAGGAGAGTCACACACTGAGGCACTAGGACTTAGGATTCAGTATGTAAATTTGAGGGGCTGTGATCTAAGTGGGGTCCTTCTAGCCTTCTGCAGGGAATTCTGGGTGTCGAGGCCTCGGTGCCCCACATGAGCACTCAGGCCATTTGTTGCTTACATGGCTTGTTCTAAGTGACACCATGTCCCCTCCTTTCTCTTCTGTCCTGGCTCCCTGGCCCCTTCCTCTAGTCCCCCGCTCACCCAGTTCTTCCTGGAGTGTGGAGGCCTGGTACGCACAGACAAGAAGCCAGCCTTGTGCAAAAGTTACCAGAAGTTGATCTCTGAAGTCTGGCACAAGAAGCGGTGAGTGTGACTCTGACCTTGGCCGTGTGTGTGGCAAGACTGCCTGTTCCCTCTCTCTTTTCAATTTATTGATTTATTTATTTATTTTTATTTTTTTTAATTTTTTGGTCTTTTTGAGACAGGGTCTCCCTGTAGCCCCAGCTGTCCTGGAACTCACTATGTAGACCAGGCTGGCCTTGAACTCACAGAGATCTGCCTGCCTTTGCCTCCCAAGTGCTAGGATTAAAGGTGTGCGCCACCACGCCCGGCTCAATTTATTTTTTATTCTGTATGAATGGATGTTTTACCTGCATATATATATGTGTACCACATGCATGCCTAGTGCCTGTGGAGGCCAGAAGAAGGTGTTGGATCCTTTTGGAACTGGAGTTAGTTATAAGCAGTTGTTAGCCATCATGTGGGTGCTGGAAACTGTCCCTGGCTCCTTTAAGAGCAGCCAATGCCCTTAACTGTGGAGCATTTCTTTAGCCCTCTGCCTGTCTTCTCTTCATGGAGCACTTCCTCTGGATTCTTCTGTAATCATACATGATACTCGCAGCAAGCCGGTGCCTCACAGGTTATATCCAGCCTTGTTTGATGAACAGGGGAACAGGTGCAGAGCTTGAAGCATCTCCCCCACAGCCACAGAGCTTGTGAGGATGGAGCTAGGATTTGAACTGGTGTCCAGCTTGGGCAGCAGCTACTTGAGAAGTGTCTGTACTGAGGCCTGGAGACCGTCCTGCCGGTGCCAAGTCTCAGGTGAGGCTGTGCTGGGGGAGGATGCTCGCACAGGGTCAGCAGGTACTGGCCAGGCCAGGGTTCATGGCTCAGAATGAAATGATTTAAAGATAAGAAGCAGCTGATTGTCCTCTGGGAAAGACAGAAGTTGGAGCAGTTGCTTTCAGATCTTTGCTGCTTTTTTGAGTCTTAAAAGATACTCCCACCCCACCCCCTCCTTCTCTGGGTCCTGGCCAGAATCCTAAGCACACGGCCCTGACCCTTGAGATTTCTCATCCTTTCTCTGAAGCCCCTGTCCATCAGCTGCTTGCCAACCCCTAGTGCTGAATGAGCTTCCCTAGCCCCTAACTCAAGGGGCTAGTTCTCTTCTATCATATCCCTTCTCTCACCAGCTGCCAAGATTGACAGCTCACCTGCCCCATTACTTTTTTCTCTTGTCTTTTTTTTTTTTTTTTTTTTTTTTTTTTTTTGGTTGTGAGCCTGAGTCCTTAATGGCTGCGCCAGCTCCCCAGCCCAGTTACTTTTTTCCCAAACCGTAATAAAATGGTCCTCAAGCTTAAACAACAACAAAACAAAAACAAACACAGAAAAAACGGGAAAGTGGAAGTTGGGACTAATTGAGCGTGAGCCCAGAGGTGTGTACTAGTAGAAGTGGATTGGCATGCTGTCCGCCTGTCAGAGGTCAGAGTTGCTGATGGGGCTTGGAAGTTAGATTGTTCAGCAATGGATACATGATTCTTATAAATGAGGAAAACGACAGTGACTGTTTCACTGTGAAAACAAACTCTCCAAATGGGCTCATCTTGGCTTTGAGGGGAATAAACAGCCACCCTGCTGGGAGCTCTGCTGGCTGAGGCAGCAGCCAACATTTTTGTCTTGCTTCTGAACATGGACCCTGTGGGCTGGTCTCCTGACTGGCAGGGCCAGTGGGCATGGTGAGAACAGCAGCTTTGGGGTCTGATCTGGCCTCCCCGTCTTACTGCTTGTCCCGCCACATGTCCAGGCCGGCCACCTGGACTAGCGGGATTGATCTCCCCACAGGCCAAGCTACGTGGTCCCCACCAGCCTGTCCCATGGAATCAAGTTGGTCAACCCAATGTTCCGAGGCTATGCCCAGCAGGTAAGCCTCCCAGCTAGCCCCAGCCCCTTCCCAGCCACAGCCGGAGTGGATCTACAGCAGGCTAGGGGACCCCGGCCAGCCCCCCCACCCCCGCCAGAGCCCTTCATACTCATAAGGACATAGGGCTCTCAGCAACCTGTTGGCCTTTAACACTACTTTACAGATGGGGAGACTGAGGCTCAGTCTGATATAGCCGATGAGTGGTGGAGGGAGAGAGCCCAGGCAGCGCCCTGCAGCATCCCTGCCCCGCAGTGCTATGTTCAGAGCATCTTCCTTTCGATTTTTCTTATAATTAACTAATTTTTATTTATTTAAATTAGTGTGTACCTGTACATGCACATGTGTGTAGAGGCCAGAAATTGATTTTGGATGTCTTCCCCCTTTTTTTTGGAGACAGGGTCTCCCTATAGCCCCAGCTGGCCTGTAAACTTACTTTATAGACTAGGCTGGCCTCGATCTTTAAGAGATCCTCCTGCCTCTGAAGTGCTGGGATTAAAGGTGGGTGCCACCATGCCCAGCAACCCTGCCTTATTCTTTGAGGCAGGGTCTCTCACAACTCAGCACTTGCTGATCAACTAGACTCCCGTTTCCACCTTCCCCACTATGGGACTACAGGCATGAGCCACTGCATCTGGCTTGCATGTGGGTGTGGGGCTCCAAAGTCAGGTCTTCCAGTTTGGGCCGCAAGCACTCTCCACACTGAGCCATCTCTTCTACCCTTCTCTTTTTTTGAGTGTTTTGAGATAGTCTGGTGTAGTACAGGTTAACCTTGACCTTGCTATGTGGCCTTGAATTCCTGACCCCCTAGCCTCTACCTCCTAATTGCTGAAATTATAGATGAGTGACACTGTGCCCAGCTCAAAACTTTAAGTACAAATTTTTAAATTTCATTTACTTACTTTTTTTTTGTTTGTTTGTTTGTTTTTTTTGAGTCAGGGTCTCCCTATAGCCCCTGCTGTCCTGGAACTCACTATGTAGATCAGGCTGTCCTCGAACTCACAAAGATGCCTGCCTCTGCCTCCCAAGTGTTGGAATTAAAGGCGTGTACCACCTCACCTGGCTCATTTAATTTTGGGTGTGTGTGTGTGTGTGTGTGTGTGTGTGTGTACACATGCTCCTACAGGTGCCTGTGAAGGCCAGAAGAGTATTGGAGCCCCTGGAGCTAGAGTTACAGATGGTTGTGAGTGTGGGTGCTGGGAATTGAACTTGGGTTCTCTGCAAGTCCAGTATGCATTCTGGACTGCTGAGCCATCTCTCCAGCCCTTAAGTAGAGATTTTTATTAAGGAAAACTTTCTTAGCCAAGATAGCACCTTTTAGATCCACAAGGCCATTTTGTTTTAGAAAATCACAAGTCCAAGACTGAGCAGAGTGACATGTGTGTCAGCTCATATGTCAGCCCCATATTGAGGCCACACGGCCTGGGCCCAGGTCCCTGGAGGCTCTGGACTACTGGGTGGCCGGGGGCTCTTAGCTGGACCTGCAGCCAGAGCTGGGCCCGCCTGAGTCATTTCTTCTGCCTATATGTGGGTCCCTTAGAAGGAGTGGTGGGCAGTGAGGGTGTCTTTATCCTTTTGCCTGTCAGCCTGCCTGCTGCCCAGTCCAGACCAGGGTCCCTGGGTATTGTGTACACACTCTTAGAGTGGGGACCAGGTTTCTGTCTGACAAGCCCAGTCTGCCTCTGCATCCTTGTTCTGAGTAGTCTGACCCCAGTGACCTGGACTCATTGTCCACCACAAAGGGGGTACTGTTGCTCCCCATGTGTCCTAGTTTGTTTCTCCATTGCTATGACAAAACACTCTGGCCAGTACCAACTTGGGGACGAAAGGGTTTATTCCACTTACATCTCCCAGGTCACAGTTCATCATTGAGGGAGCCCAAGGTAGGAACTCAGGGCAGGAACCTGGAGGCAGGAGCTGAAGCTCAGGCCATGGAGGAACCGCTTCTTACTGACTTGCTCCTCTGGCCTGTGCTCAATCTGCTTTCTTATTACAACACAGGCCCACCTGCCCAGGGGTGGCACCACCCCCTGGGGACTGGGCCCTCCCACATCACTCAACCATCAAGATGGCCCACAGACATGGCCACAGGTGAGTCCAATGATGGCAATTCCCCAATTGAGGCTCCCTCTACCCAGGTGTGTCAAGTTGACACTAAAGCTGTCCAGTATACCATGTCACAGGTGAACAAGGCTCAGAGACACTACATACCTCATTCAGTTCACAGTACAGTTACAGGAGTGGGTTAAGAGGTGAGCTGATCCTGCTCACTCTGCTGCTCAGTGCTGCCCTCAGTCAGGGTAGACACTGTCCATTGGGGCTGCTTGGCTGCTGGGTGACACCCATCTGGGTCCCAGAGATGCTGCCTTCCCTTGCTCGTTGGATATAGATGGGCATTTCTGAGTCTGAAGCCAGGAACTGCTGTAAGCTTTTCAGTGACCACAGGAGCCTTTTTGCTTCCATGTGAGTCAAGACTTTGGCAAGGAGCACATGACACTTATTTTTAAAGATTTAATGATTTATTTTTGGCCTTTTTTGAAACCGGGTCTCCCTATAGCCACAGATGGCCTGGAACTCGATACGGAGACCAGGCTGGCCTTAGTCTCATAGAGATCTGCCCACCTCTGCCTCCCAAGTGTAGGGATTAAAGGCAGTGTGCTACCACACCCAGCAAGATTTATTTATCTTAAAAATTTTTATTATGTGTACAAGTATTTGCCTGCATGTATGTAAGTGCAGTGTGTGTGTGTGTGTGTGTGTGTGTGTGTGTGTATGAAAGACAGAGAACAACCTTAAGTGGCATCCTCAGGTTTTGGGACAGGGTCTCTTACTGGTTTGCCAGTTAGGTAGACTGACTGGCCAGTGAGTCCCAGGGACCCTCCTGTTTCTGCCTCCCCAGCACTGAAATTGCATGTGCTTGCCACCGGTGACCCCTGGCGTTTTAAATTCGGGTTCTGGTGCTCGGCTAGCAAGCACTTCACTGAGTGTGCTGTCTCCCTAGCCCTTGCATAGAGAGGACACAGGAGGAGTAAGTAGTGAGTGTTATGGCTGAAGGCCCGCTTCCACCTAGCACAGGACACACGTCTCCCTGGTAGAGACACACGTCTCCCTGGTAGGCCTCTGCTGGGTCCCACTGAACTCTTCCGGGGTTGCCATTCAAAGTGGAAATGAGTGGCTACTCTCTGCAGCTCTGGTTCCCAGCTGGCTCTGGCTGCCCATGCCCTCTTCCAGTGCCCTTAGCTGTTGAGGTTGGCTGCTCTCGCCACCTCAGGACCTTGTATATCACGTACAGGGAGCATGCACAGTGCCCTGCTGAGCCTGGTAGGATGGCTCTGTGGACAAACTGCCTCCCAGTGTCCTGCAGTGTTGGTGATGGGCACTGGGTCCTCCCAGGGAGGCCAGCCTGCCTAGAGAGGCAACTTGTCTATGTCTTGCCCACGTGTGCGTGGCCTGTCTTGCCACCGTGTCACAAGGGGTAGGAGCATGTGGGCAAGCAGGAAGGCACAGTAACAAAGAACTAGAGAAAGGGTCAGGCAGATAGTGGCCTGTGGGGTGATGTTGCTCAGCGTGATAGGGCAGGGCCGGCCCACAGTGTCTTACCCTTTTGCCCCTCCCTCCTACCCTGCTGCCCTGTCCTCAGGAAGTAAGGGGACGGGATGTGGCCGCTCCTCTTCCCACACTTTAGATGCTTGCACCCAGTCCTCCGGCTCTGTGTTCACTGTGTGTCTTGAGAGGAGTCCTTTGGCCTCTCTCAGCCTTGATCAAGAGGGAGCTAGCACAGAATTTCAGTGCACAGGGTGCCTGCCAGGACCTGCTGGAGGCAGCTAGTGGCCTGGTGGGCAGAAGTGGCAGCGCCCACAGCAGTTCCTCTGTTCCTGGAAAGCCCTGGTGACTTGGCCCTGATTGCAGGACACCCAGGAGTTCCTGCGCTGCTTGATGGACCAGCTGCACGAGGAGCTGAAGGAGCCTGTGGTGGCTCCTGTGGCGGCACTCACAGATGCTCGAGACTCAGACTCCAGTGACACAGACGAGAGGCGTGATGGTGACCGGAGCCCATCAGAGGACGAGTTCCTGTCCTGTGACTCGAGCAGTGACCGGGGTGAGGGTGATGGGCAGGGGCGTGGTGGGGGCTCAAAGGCTGAGATGGAGCTGCTGATCCCTGACGAGGCGGGCCGTGCCATCTCCGAGAAGGAGCGCATGAAGGACCGCAAGTTCTCCTGGGGCCAGCAGCGCACCAACTCGGAGCAAGTAGATGAGGACGCTGATGTGGACACGGCCATGGCCACCCTTGATGACCAGCCCAGTGAGGCCCAGCCACCATCACCGCCGTCCATCAGCCCCTGCCAGACCCCAGGTATCAGTGAACCAGGACATGTAAAACAGCAGGGGATCCCAGCCTGTGAGCCCAGTGCCTACTGCTGCCCAGCACCAACACGCAGCAGCCTTGGGGTAGAGGACGCCTCCCCTGGTCCCTCCTCATAGGCTGGGAACAGCCTCCATGCCAGGCTGTCTGGGCTCTTAGAGCCACAGCTCCACTCAGCCCTGAGCCTCAGTTGAAAACAGACTAGATAACTCCGTTCCAGTGTGTTTGGTTGGGTCAGGGAAGGACACAGGACTAGAGACTAGGAGGAGTCAGGGAAGGGCACAGGATGAGATTAGGAGGAGTCAGGGAAGGGCACAGTGCAAGAGACAGGGGTCGGGGAAGGACACAGCAGGAGATGGGGGTCAGGCCTTATTCCCGCTGCAAGATGCTGGCAAGTCCTCTTTGTGCTCTGGCTTCAGAGCTGCCACAAGGACCCTGGCTTGGCTGCCCTGGCCCAATACCACCCCTTTCTGCCCTCAGAGCCAGACAACGAAGCCCACATACGCAGCTCCTCTCGCCCCTGCAGCCCCATCCATCACCATGAGGGCCACACCAAGCTGTCCAGCAGCCCGCCTCGTGCGAGTCCTGTGAGGATGGGGCCATCATATGTGCTCAAGAAAGGTTTGTGGATGGTGCTGAGCTCATGTGGAGTCAGGCATGGTGGCCAGTTTGGGGTGCTTGGTGCCAGGGTCCAGGCTGCTTACGTAGCCAACCCTTATAAGCCCTGGAATGTCGGGGAGAGCTCCATTTTATAGCCAGTGACCCTGAGGTGGTGAAGTATGTAGATAATTATGTGATTGTGAGGTGATCCCATGGTGTGTCTGAGGGAAGCCCCATACCCAAGTCTTGTGCCAGCAGGCGAGGAAGGCTGGCCTAGCCCCATGCTGTGTTCGCAGCTCAGGTGTTGAGCACTGGCAGCCGGAGGCGGAAGGAGCAGAGCTTCCACAGCATCATCTCTGACGTCTTCAACGGCTCTGTCCTCAGCCTGGTGCAGTGTCTCACCTGTGACAGGGTGGGTGCCCAGGAGAGGCTGGTGGTGCTCACTGTCTGGGGCAGGGTGGGTTCTCCCTTGGTGCCTGCTACCCCTGCTTCATGTGCCAGGGGGCAGATGGGGGCAGAGCTGGGTACCAGCTGACCTTCACCCCACAGGTATCAACCACAGCGGAGACTTTTCAGGACTTGTCATTGCCCATCCCTGGCAAGGAGGACCTGGCCAAACTCCATTCCGCCATCTACCAGAATGTGCCAGCCAAACCAGGTGCCTGCGGGGACAGCTATACCTCGCAGGGCTGGCTGGCCTTCATTGTGGAGTACATCCGACGGTATGCTCACCTTCCTGCTCAGTATGTAGCATTTGTAGTGCCAGGGAGACTCCAGGGAACTGGAGGCCAGAGGGTGCTGGGGAGTGGGAGTGGAGGAGTAGGGTGGGAGGACCCTGGTCACTTTGGAATAGACTGGTCTGGATGCTCCAGTGAAGGTGAAGGGCAAATGGCAACCCAGAGAGGAGCCAAGTTGGTAAGGGAGAGGCAGCACCCTGGCCCAGCCTGCGCCTGCAGGAAGACCCTCAGGTACTTTTCTTGAGCCCCCATGTGGCTCCGAAGAAGGGCACAGAGCCTGGTCCCTATACAGATAAGGAAGCCAGGGCTCAGGTGTTGTCGCCTGATGGTGGAAATAGGTCCACCCCAGCCCTCAAGGCTCCTGCTAGGCCAACCTGCCAGGCTGGGCCTTCTGAGGCTCAGGCCTCTCAGCTACCACCCACCATATCCAGGCCCTGAGCACCTAGCATCCTTTTCCTGTCTGTCTAGGTTTGTGGTATCCTGTACCCCCAGCTGGTTTTGGGGGCCCGTTGTCACCCTGGAAGACTGCCTTGCTGCTTTCTTCGCTGCTGATGAGCTGAAGGGTGAGTGGCCTGGCTTGTGGGATAGGGCAGTGGGGGAGAGGGACCCTTACAGCTGGCTACGTGTCAGGCCCACCTACAGCCCAGGGCTTACGGAACACATGGCCAGATTGGCCTCTCAAACTGAACCTGGTAGGTCCCCACATGCTGGCTCACTGTGGAGGTGCACACCTGTAGTCCCAGCACTTAGCAGGTGGAGGCAGGAAGATGAGGAATTCAGGGTTCCTTGGCTACATAGTGAACGCAAGGCCAGCCTGGGCTACACAAGACCTTGTCCAAAACAAGATAGGTAGAGAAATAGAGAGGTGCCCACTTGCTTCCCACCACGCCCGGCTTGGACAGCTACCCTCCCAACCTTCTGCCTCTGCCTTGTGAACGCTGCTCATTGGGTGGGCAGAAGTGGTATCCTGCTTAATCTGTGCCTCCTTAATTTCCTTGACTGTCGATGAGCTTTGAATACTTTGCTTTTGTTTTGAGACAGGGTCTCATATAAGCCCAGGCTAGCCTTGAACTCTTGATACCCTGCCTGAGTGCCGGGATTGCAGTTATGTGCTACCATGCTCAGCATGGATATGTAAAAAATTATTTTAAGCCGGGCATGGTGGCGCATGCCTTTAGTCCCAGCACTAGGGAGGCAGAAGCAGGTGGAGCTCTGTGAGTTTGAGGCCAGCCTGGTCTACATAGTGAGTTCCAGGCCAGCTGGGGCTACAGGGAGACCCTGTCTCAGACCCAAAAAAATACATTTAAAAAAAAAATTATTTACTGTGTGTGTGTGTGTGTGTGTGTGTGTGTGTGTGTGTGTACACCCTCAAGTCACTGTTCATATGTAGAGGTCAAAGGATAATTTTGGAAGTCTGTTCCCTTCTCCCACCGTGTGGGAGTTCTGGGAATTGAACTCAGGTCATCAGGCTTGGCAGCAAGTGCCTTCTTTACCTGCTGAGCCGTCTAGCTGGCCCCATGATTTTTTTTTTCCCCACTTTAAATTGTAAGATAGAGATAACACCAAGTTCATCACCATAGCCATTTTCGTTATTTTTTTAACTGAATGTGCGCAGTTCAGTATATTAACATTGCTATGCAATCTTCACCAACCTCTCTACAGAATCCTTTTTTGTTGGGAGGAGGGTTTGAGACACAGTCTCACTATTTAGCCCTGGCTGGCCTGGAACTCACTCTTAGAAACCAGGCTCACCTGGAACTCAGAGATCCGCCTGCCTCTGCCTCCTGTGTGCCCGGGATTAAAGGCATGCCACTCATTTTGTGGGTTTGTTATTGTTCACTTTGAGATGAGGTCTCAGGTAGCTGGTTTCAAACTTGCTGTGTAGCTGAGGATGACCTTGAACTCCTGATCTTCTTCTACCTCTCGGGTGCAGGAATTACTGGCATGTGCCTTTTCATTGGTTTTTAGTTCCATCCATTTGGGAGGTTCATCATTTCTAGGGTCAAATACCTCCCTTTTGGGGAGAATCCATCGTTAGGATCCAAGCAGAGTCTCCTCTCCCTTCACTTTCTGCTGGCTTTTTTGTTACATATACTTCACATTTGCTCTTTCTTGCCCCAACTCCCATCCCTGCTAACCTCCGGCCCTTTGCTTCCCATGCTAGGGGACAACATGTACAGCTGTGAGCGGTGTAAGAAGTAAGTGTGTGCTCTGGGGACCTGTTCCCAGCTTCCCTTTCCCAGTATCCTCCTGTTTGCACTCTCCCCAGGGTCCCATCAGAGAGCCCTGTGCTAGCCTCCATGGTGACCAGGTTGGGGGACTGCACCTTGCCCCCATGGGACCGACTGTCACTCTCATATGTCCCCTCTGTAGGCTTCGAAATGGCGTGAAATACTGTAAAGTCTTATGTCTGCCTGAGGTAAGTGAGCTATCTTGGCCTTGTTGGGCTCGCATCCTGTCCTCATAGACGGTGGGTGCATGGGGTGGTCAGTGGTTACATGGGATGGTCAGTGGGGCCCAATGAAGACTGACTCTGTCCCTGCCCAGGAACTTTTGCTCTTAAGGGCCATGGAACTTGCGTGGGTGCTTTGGCTGAGACCCGAGGAAGGGCCGAGAGGGTGCTCCTGATTGTGTACTCTGTCTGACCTGTGGCTTCTCTTGGGGACGTAGTGAGGGCCCTGTGTGAGTAGTGTAGCTGTGCTCAGCATCCCTGAGTGTGGGGGCGGGGATCAGGTGGCTGGTTATAGGACTGTCAGGGACCACCTTGCTGAGTGCTGTGAGCTACTGTCAGCCTCATGGAAAGCCTGAGAAAGGACAGGTGGCCAAGCCCTCAGAGGGGACAGGCCCAGCTAAGCCTAAAGTCTTCTGGAGCTAGCACAGAAAAAAGGGCCATGGTGAGGGCTGGCTAGCATGATGGAGAGGCTCCTAGGAGTTGGTACCCACAAAACTGGGTGTTGAAATTTCATGGGCAGTAAGCATGACAGGCCAGGGGTAAAGTCAGTTCCTGTGAGGGAAAATGAGCCCATGAGCTCCCACGTGGAGTTCTCTGATGTGCTTGATGGAGACCATGCAGATCCAACAGCTGGTCTGGGCTTCCCTGTATCTTCCCCCAGATAACTGGGGTGACTGGCACCTGCCCTCTGTCTTCAGATCCTGTGCATCCACCTGAAGCGTTTCCGGCATGAGGTCATGTATTCCTTCAAGGTCAGCAGCCATGTCTCCTTCCCCCTTGAGGGCCTTGACCTGCGCCCCTTCCTGGCCAAGGAGTGCGCGTCCCAGGTCACCACCTACGACCTCCTCTCTGTCATTTGTCACCATGGCACAGCAGGCAGTGAGTATGGTTCCCCCCAACCCAGCCACCTCCCATGCTGCCTGTCCCTATGACCCCTGTAACCCACGGTTGTCCACCAGGTGGGCACTACATTGCCTACTGCCAGAATGTGATCAATGGACAGTGGTATGAATTTGATGACCAGTATGTGACCGAAGTCCACGAGACAGTGGTGCAGAGTGCCGAGGCCTACGTGCTGTTCTACAGGTGGGTGGGTGGGTGGGGAGCCCCGTGCAGCATGTGCACATGCTGTGCCACACCCATTGGAACGGGCTTTCCTGTGCTATCCTCAGTCTTCTGTGGTCCTATGAGAGGACTAGTGGGACAGCCAGGATGTGAGGGCTTGTGGGGTTCCGGATATGCCCCAGCATGACGTCAGGTGGCTCTGCATACTCCCTGGCCATAGCATGGCTGGAGTTCACTAACAGCCTGGTGGAGGTCTGGTTGCTCATGCCTGTTCCTCTGTGACCTGCCCAGGAAGAGCAGCGAGGAGGCCATGCGTGAGCGGCAGCAGGTGGTGTCCCTGGCTGCCATGCGGGAGCCCAGCCTGCTCCGGTTCTATGTGTCCCGAGAATGGCTCAACAAGTTCAACACCTTTGCGGAGCCAGGGCCCATCACCAACCACACCTTCCTGTGCGCCCATGGAGGTGAGGTACCTGCCCTGGGAGAGGCAGCATTGAGGGTGGGCTGAGTCCGAGCTCCATCCCTATGCCTTCCTCCACAGGCATCCCACCCCACAAATACCACTACATCGACGACCTGGTGGTCATCCTGCCGCAGAGTATCTGGGAACACCTGTATGGCAGGTGAGCCCTGGGCAGCTGACCAGACCGGCAGGGAGCAAGGCTGTTGGCCCCACTGTCCTCTGCCCAGCCAGCACGGCATCAGCCCCACCTTCTCTGAGTCCCAGTGAAGATGGTACAGGGGTCCGTGGGAATTCAGTTGGTCTGCCAGTCCTGAGAAGAGGAAGCTGGATCACAGTTGGCTTATTAACCTGTCATAGAAAGCCCTTGGGTTCAGGGCTGGGGTTGGGGACAGGCTGAGCCTCTGACACAGCACAAGCTCCCTGCAGCCCAGCCCAGACCCAGGTCCCTGTGCAGCTGGGTTGTGGGGTGGGCCTGCCCTTGGGAAGAAGAGGCCCACGGTTCCCCTGCCAGCTGCCAGTGGGTGGGTAAGAAATGGGGAATCCTGTCCCTTCACCCTGTGAAGCCCCCAGGCCAGGGCCACATTCTCTCCCACCTGCAGCCTCACTGATCTTGTCCTCCATCTGTATCAGGACAACCTTTGGCCACATAGCTCCTAGCCAGCAGTCGGTAGGAAGCAGAGATCTAGGCTGCCTTCTGCCCTGAAGCAGGCACCAAGGGCCCTGGTCAGCCTTCTGTGCTGGAGTGATGATGACTGAGAGCACAGGCGCCTGCCTGCTGCAGCACTGTCTCCCCGTTTGCCACTCAGGCATGGCTGTCTCCTCCTCTCCACACAGGTTTGGAGGCGGCCCTGCCGTGAACCATCTGTACGTGTGCTCCATCTGCCAGGTGGAGATTGAGGTGCTGGCCAAGCGCAGGAGGGTGGAGATTGACACCTTCATCAAGGTGTGTGCAGGGCAGGAACCTGGGTACCACAGCCGTGTACATCAGACTCTGCAGGGCAGTAGAGGGCAGGGAGCGAAGGGATTCCTGCTTGCGGGAGCTGGCGGCTTTGTGAGGCGCTAGTGTCTGCTCATCTCACCCGGTTCTGCGGCCTGGGCTGAGTGGTTCTTCATCCTGAGGTCTGCCCTACAGTCTGTAATTGACATAGTAGCACCGCCACCTTTTACCTGTCAGATGCCAGTGACAATCAGAATGACTTCCTGACACTGCCTAGGTCCCCTGGGGAGCAGAGTCCACCCCTAGTTGCAGGCTACCAGCTGAGGGGGGAGAGGCTTGGCCCATCCACCATTCCGCCTCTCCCACGGCAGGCACTTTGCCTCCATGGGCGCACAGGAAGGTGTGGCTGGTGATGGCCCTGGCTCTGCAAAGGTGCTGAACTTGTTGAGTTATTCTTGGGACACATGAACTGGAGCAGATTGGGCTCCCGCAGGGCAGCCAGGAACACCAGCTCAGGACTAAGGCTGTATACCTTGATGTAGGAGGTGCCCGAGACTTACAGGAAGTATGAGGAGCCGGTGGCTTGGAAGGACTCAGAACCTGGTCCATCAGGAAAGGAGCTTCTGGGACAGGGACCCCTGTGTGTGTAGCTATGCCTCCACCCCTGCTGCTCATGACTGGACACAGGATAGGACCTCAAGTACTAAGGCCTCCGCTTTGTAGCCATTGAGAAATGCTTGGGTCAGGGGCTGCAGGTGTGCCTGGGTAGAACGCCTGCTTAGCATGTGTGAAGCCCTGGGCTCCATCTCTGGCACCAGAACCAAAGTTGTTAGAACCATGTGGCCAAATAGAAATGTCTGATAAATGGAGAAATGGTATCTCTGGGGCTGGAGAGATGACTCGGTGGTTAAGAGCACTGGCTCTTCCCATCATCCACATAGTAGCTAACAACTGTCCTAACTCCAGTTCCAGGGGATCTGATACCCTCTTCTGACCTCCATGGGCATTGCATGAACACAGATGCACTTACATATGTGCAAGCAATATAGTCATACTAATAAAATACTTTTTTTAAAAAAAGAAGGGCCGGGCCTGGTGGCACATGCCTTTAGTCCCAGCACTCAGGAGGCAGAGGCAGGCAGATCGTTGTAAGTTCAAGGACAGCCTGATCAACATAGTGAGTTCCAGGCTACCTGGGGCTACAAGGAGACCCTGTCTCAAAAAGACCAGAAAAGAAGGAAAGAAAGAAATGATATCTCCTGTGTGATCTCAGCGGACTTGAGATATGTACTAAACAGATGTTCTCCATTTGACCCTGGTCAGGTCATGGTAGAATTCTCTGTTCTTTTTGGACTTGCCAGGGAGTCATAAGTTTTCTGCCTGGGGTGTCTCAGGTCAGGGCTAGGGCAGGGTCTTGGGAAGTCCTGCAAAACAGGGACAGGAAGGAGGCTGACCATCCCTCTTACTACCTAACCACCCAGCTGAACAAGGCGTTCCAGGCTGAAGAGTCACCGAGCGTCATCTATTGTATCAGCATGCACTGGTTCAGAGAGTGGGAGGCCTTCGTCAAGGGGAAAGACAACGGTGAGTGGAGCAGCACAGGCCTCCTGAGGAGCGCCTTCTAGGGGTGCAGGCCTGACTGCCACCACTGCTCTCCTTGCCACTGGGGCTGAGCACAGTTCCTGCCTTTCCCTGCTCTTCCTGTCTATTCCTTGCTGACCCTCCAGGCAGCTACTGTTTCCTCCTGCAAGGCCGTGCCCTTGAGATTCTATTGCTTTCATGGTAGAAGGTTCTAGACTTTTAGGAAGACTCAGGCACTTCTCTGAACCTTGGATTTGCAGAAATGGAGAAGGGTACTGTGACAAGTGAGCTGGCATGGTCTCCCAGAGTCTCCAGCAAAGCATAGAGAACCAAACCTGGACCACCCTCATAACCATACTTGAGCTCCTAGGCTGGGCTCAGGGGACCTGGTGGGTCAGCAGAGCCCATGGGTGCCACAGGCCAGGCATTTGACTCCTGCTTGGAGCATGAACAGCCAGTACTGGGGAGGGTGTTGACTCACTCTCCCCTGGCCCCACCCCCTGCTGGCTGAGACAGTCAGTGTGGCTGTGGTTGGGAACAAAGCCCGGGGGGCTGGCCCACCAGTGGTGCTTGGCTGCTGGCCCAGTCTTGCACCAACTCTGAGCTGGGCGAGTCATTCCACTGCCTGAACCTCTGGTTCTCTGTAAACAGTTCTCAGTTGCTGTCAGTTAGATGAGAAGATGGCGGGCAAGGAAAAGACACTCAACGTGTCAGCTACCAACAGAAATGAGGGTATTTGTTCCCTACCACTGACTCCCATTGCCAGAGGCTGGTCTGAAGTGATCCCACACAGGCAGGCAAACCTCTTTGAGTTCAAGACCAGCTTGGTCTACACAGCAGGTTTCGAGCCAGTCATGGTTACATAGTGAGACCTTGTCTCTAAATAAATATGTTGAAAAATGATCCATGGTCCTGCTGTGCCCTCTGCTGGGTCCAGGAGACCGGAAGCCAGCTCAGAATCAAGAGAAGCCTTAGTATACCAAGTGTCTCCTGTCAGCCCTGTCTCAGACTTGAGACCCAGCAGGATGGCATCTGTGGGGCCCAGGCCATGCTGAAGGATGGCATTGCCTATAGTGTTAAATCCAGCCTTGTCTGTTCCAGAGCCTCCTGGGCCCATTGACAACAGCAGAATCACACAGGTCAAAGGTAGTGGCCACATCCAGCTGAAGCAGGGTGAGTCCCCACCCAGGCCTTGGCTCAACCAGGCTGCCCCTGGACCCTTAGGCTGCCAGGTTGCCACCAGGCCCCATTCTTCCAGGAAGCCCTTGCTACCTGTCTCAAAGTCATCCCAGCCAAGTCCGGGCCCAGAGGCTATTGGGGGGAGGTGTCCCAGGTGCTTGGCCTTTGTGAGGGTCCTCCAGTCCCTGGCCCTACCCTTCCTTTCCTGCTCCCTGCTGACCTGGCCTGCCCTTAGGTCAGCCCAGCTCTCAGAAACAAGGGGCAGTAGCTAGAGCCTGGTATTCTGGGACCCTTAGTGGGATGGTGGTTCCCTCAAGTTACATACATGGAGCAGTTTTGCACTCAAGCCTGTGGCTGCCCTCCCCTGTGGGGTCTGTCCCCTGCTGCCTAGCAGGTGACTTCTAGTGGGACCAACACAAGCTGTGGCCTCTGCCTGTGTGCCTCCCTGCTCCACAGGGGCTGACTATGGACAAATCTCTGAGGAGACCTGGACCTACCTGAACACCCTGTATGGGGGTGGCCCCGAGATCGCCATCCGGCAGAATGTCGCCCAGCTCCCGGACCCAGAGAGCTTGCATGGGGAGCAAAAGATCGAGGCCGAGACCCGGGCTGTGTGACTTGGGCCAGGCTATGAGTCGCTGTGGCTGGCCCTCCCTCTCCAGACAGCCCTGTGTCTTCCTGAAGGCTGCGTCGTGCTGAGTGTCCACTGTTCCAGAAGGCTGGTATTGCCCATCTCTGGGGGGGCATGTCTGTGCCATGCAGTTGAGCTGCAGTGCACGTGGCGCAGAAGCCAAATGTAGCTGGTCTCACCATGAGCAGTGTTGCACCGGGAAATATATTCTCTAAGACTTGCTGGCTGCCCGGGACTCTAATCACCATGTCCCCCAAACCTGTCCTCTTGCTAACTCAGGCCCAGCTGTGTTTCGGGAGCCCCATGCTGCCCCTCAGCCAGGCTGGCATGTGGGATGGGGTGTTGGGAGTAGGTACCACCTCTCGAATGTTTTCCACTGTGCACTTTGCCCTGGTACCCCAGGGACTCCAAGATGACCACATTGTGAGCAGAAGGCAGAATGGACCTTTGGGGCTCCACGTACCCAGTAGCCCTCTGTGTCCCTGCATATCCTGGTGGTCATCAGGAGCCTTCTTGAGGCCCATACTGACCTGTTTGTCCTGCTGACCTTCGATGCTAGACTCCTGTGGTCTGGACAGAAAAAGGGCAATTTCTGCTGTAGGAGACCCACCGCCTTGTCCTGTGAGCACACCAGAGGATGGGCAGTGCTTTGCCCCAGAGTGTCTGCTGAGCTCCAGGGGCGGGGGGGAGCGGGGATAAATACCTCACACACTGTCAGTGTTTTCTGCTAGCTCAGCTTCAGGGAATGGGGGATTAGGGTGAGTACAATCAGAGGACACCTCAGCCTTGCTGTCTAGGGCCCCCCCAGGAAGATGTACCCTGACGCCACTCACTGTGGAGGTGCAGGGACCTACTGAGTCCAGCAAGGCTGTCTTGTTTCTGGGGTCATCAAAGCCTCTAAATGGAACAGCTTGGGGGTGAGGGGTCCTAGGACCAAGTCCCCAGAGGGTGGTAGTCTCCAGCCTCCACAGAATTGAACATTGGCAGACCTTCCATCAGCTTAGGCTTGAGGGGCATCTAGTGTCCCCAGCTGGTTCCTCCCACCAAGGTGGGGCTCATGTGACCCAGAAGCAGCTGCTGGGGTTTGTCTTGTTGGCCACTGTCCTTTGAAAGCTGCGCTGTGGAGCACTTGGACTCATTGCACTGCTGTGACAGTCTCCTGCTGTTACCTGCCTCTAAGTCTGTGCAGTCTGGTGTGTGTTCAGGGTGTCACAATAAACGTGTTCCCCCGGCTTGTGTCTTGGCTTCAGTTCTGTTGCTGCTGAGTGCTGCTGTGGTGATGGTCATGAGCCTGAGGCCAAGAGGAAGTGGGGAGGAGGCTGTTCCACTTGAACTGCCAACGGTGTCTTTCCTTTCCTGGCCCACAGTGGGCCCAGGTGTGGTCAGTGGCCCAGCCACCCAGCCAGCGTTGCAGCTGCAGAGCCACAGCCGCTGCCCCTCCCCTCCCTGAGATCCCGGCCTCTGAACTCAGCCTGGGTGTTAGGGATGTTGGGGTGTTGTCCCTGAAGTCTGGGTCAGGTTTGTTTGTACTTTCTGGATAGGGAATTTAAGATTTTATTACTTAAAAAATGGGCAGACCAGAAAGAAGGGTTTAAGACTGCCTGAAGTCAGGTGTGGAGTGCACACGTGAAAGTCAGCATTTGGGAGGTGGAGGCAGAAAGATCAGGAGTTGGAGGTCATCCTCAGCTATGTAGTGATTTGGAGTTAGCCTGGACTACATGACTCCTTATCTCAAAACACCTGTAGCCTGGGGCTGTAGCTCAGTTGGCAGTGTTTGCCTTGTGCACTGAAGTCCAGCGTTCTATCCCAGCACCACATAAACCAGGCATGGTGGCACACACCTGTAATCCCAGTGCTTGGGAGGTGGAGGCAAGATCATCCTTGACTACATAGTTCCAGGCCAGCCTAGGCTATGAGACCCTGTCTCAAGAAAAAAAAGGCACGTGGCTGCCCACTTGAGATCGGCTTGTTTTGTATCAGTCACATAGATAGCATCAAGATTTCAAAACCTCCCCTCGGTGTGCGCCGCTCCCAGGGGTCACTGGGGTTCTGCTTCAGAGGGCTCTTCCCACCTGCACTGCACCCCGCCCCTCAGTACTCCCCTCACCTCTGCTATTGATCCAGTCTCCCTGGTGGTGAACACCCTGGCCTGCAGCCCCTGGGCTCAATCAGTTCTGCCTCAGCCTTCCGAGTTCGGGGACTATGGGGGTGTACTCCCTCCCTTGCCAAGCCTCTATTCACATGGTGTCACTACATGTGTGGGTGTGTTTCTAGATACATCTCTGCATGTGTTTTAGCTGTGCTCACTTTTGAGGGTTATATATACCAAATCCCATGGCGCATACTTTGTGTGTGACTTCTTAGCATGAAAGAGTTGTGTCTGGAGGGTTATTTCTAGGGTTTGGCAACAGTCATTTCTTGTACTACGGGAAGAGATGGAAATAGAAATTTGCCTCAAAACGTTTCCTGTAGTTTCCGTTGAAATAAATACCCAGCACAGAAACAGCCTAGGCAAACTTAGACCTGACAGCCGAAGAGGAAATGAGTCTGTGGTCTCAGTCCCAGTTCAAGGGAGAAGTTCCCGGGGCCTGGGGAGGAGGGACTGGCTCCCTGAGGCTGAGCCTGGGAACCAACACCAGCTTTCTGTGCCTTTCTGTGGGAGCCAGAAACCACCCCTGCAAAGCAGGCAGTGGGGGCAGCCGGTTGCCTGGCACCTGGGTGTACATCAGGTCCCAGCTGCCCACAAGCTGTGTGGGCTGCGTCAGCAAGGCTGTACTTTCTACCCTGTTGTATTTTAAATCTAAGGCAAACACGTTATCCTGAGTCTCACTGCCTGATTTTGACCCGAGACTTGGGAAGGGAAGTAGAGATTCAGCATCAGGCCTCCTGCCAGCTGGAGGTGAGGACCTAGTGCCCAGGCACCGCCGCCTGCAGGGACCTTGGGGAATGGAGAACCTGTGGAGGAGGCTGCCCCAGGCACACATGAAGAGAGGTGTCTGGAGAGCTTGGGAATCAAGGTTCTGAAGGATACCGTTCCACCCTGGGACACTGCTAGACAACCACCGCAGGCCTGAGACGATGTTCCTGCCCAGTTGCCTCCCCCCAGCAGAGAATGAAGCTGTGTTTTGGTCCATTAACTCTAAGGACAGAAACACGGGTGCCTTTGTTTATTCTGTTCTCTTGTAGCCCTGAGATGTCCCCAGCTGATGTCACTAAACCCACTGGACAGAGATGGGAATGTTTCAGTCAGGGTCTGATGAGTACTTGATGCAACTTGAGACACAAAAGAGCTGCTGGGTGCTGGTTGGCTGCCTTCCTATGTTGATTGGGACACCAGAGGAAAGGGCAGTGGGGCTAGGGATGTGAGGCCTCATCTGAGTGATGGACAGAGCCATGGACATTGGCTCCCCCCAGGCTTAGCCTGCCTCTTTTACTGACACCAGGCTCAGGTATATAGCAAAGGGCAGTTTGGAACACCTGAGTACTGGGATTATAGCCCTGCCCCGCCATGCCCAGTTCACACCTGCAGTGTTCCGCAGTCTAACCACCTTTTGCTCTAAGGACCATAGCATTCATCAACAACAATTATTTTTTATTCCATTTGTTTATTTGGGGGTTTGGTGGTGCCACTGTGCATCTGTGGAGGTCAAAAGGCAATCAGGGGGGTCAGTTCTCTCCCTCCACCATGTGGGGTCCCGGGGATCAAACCCAGGTCTCCAGGTACTGTGGCAAACTCCTCCACCCACTAAGCCATCCTGCTGGCCCTGACCAACCAGCAGTGGTTTAGAGTGGCTTAGAGACTAGCCTGTGGATGTGGAGTGCACCATTTCAGAATCTTCAAATGCGGGTAATTTACAAGTGGGTCTATCTGTAATGTCTGCCCTTGGGAGGCAAAAGCAGCAGGATCACGAATTAAAAACAAGCCCGAATACCTAAGGAGACCTTATTAATTAAAGAAAAAAATTGAAAATGGGACTGGAAATGTAGCTCAGTTGATCAAGTGTTTGCCGAATCCCTAACACCTTATAAACTGGGTGTGGAGGTGCACAGCTGTAATCCTAGCACTCAGGTGGAGGCAGGAGGATCAGAAATTCAGTGTCTTCCTTGGCCACATAGCTTGAGACCAGCCTGGGCTGCATGAGACTCTTGTCTCAAAAGCCAAAAATTCAAAACAAAACAAAACAGGGCTGGAGAGATGGTTCAGTGGTTAAGAACACTGCTCTTGCAGAGGACCTGGGTTCAGTTCCCAGTACCCACATGGCAGCCAACAACCATCCATAACTCCAGCTCCGGGGCATAATACACCCTCTTCTGGCCTCCATGGGCATTGCATGTAAGTGTAAGGGTGCCCTTACATTCATGCAGGCAAAACTCGTAACACAAAAATTTTAAAAACTAAACCTGGAATTTTTTTAGAAAAACGAGACTATGATTCAGCGGGACATCACTTGCTTAGCCAGTAGAGGGCCCTGGGGTGGCATGGGGGTAGGGAGGATGTGCATTCCCCCACCCCTAGGCCCTTGGGTTTCCCCCACCAGTCACTGGATAAAGAAGCGCTTCCTTCTTCCACTAGGGGGTGCCACGGCCCCTTCCAACAAAGCATCTGGAGCCCAGGTGTGGCCAGAGCCAAGAGGGGTGCTGGGGATGCCTGGGCTAGCTGGTATTTCCAGAATGCCAGAGAAGCCCAACCCAAGGGTGTGTGGCCTCTCTGATCCTGTGAGTCAGGAGCTTCTGGCTGTTTGCAACCCAGTGCAGCAGATCGGGAATCAGAAGCCCAGCTCCTGGTTCACAGCCCTGTGAGGGTGTCCAACCCTGAGCCAGAGAGGTGGGGCACGTGGAAGAGCAACAGGCCAATCTGGCTCCCTACCAAGGGCGGTTCTGAGGGGCCATGGAGGCACCCTGTCTCCTGCCTTCTGAAGAACCTAGCCCTAAATGTCTTTCTAAAATGAATCTTTTGCTAACAGCCCAGACAAGAGGGTTTCACTGGGGTTAGGGACTACACTGTCCCGTGGAGAATCGTGAATTTTTATTTATTATCGTTTTGTTTTGTTGAGATAGGGTCTCATGTGTAGCCCCAGTTGGTCCCTTTGTAGGCCAGGCTGGCCTTGAACCACAAAGCTATGCCTGCTTCTGCCTCCGGAGTGAGATTGAAAGTAGCCACCACACCTGGTTTGCTCTTTATTTCTGAGATGGAGTCTATATAGCCCCAGGCCGGCTTTAAACTGATCCGCCTTCCTCCACCTGGCATCACGGGGGTGGACCACCACACCCAGCTGTCATTTGAGTGTTTAGAAGTCCAGCCCTAATGTCAGGCTCCTGGGACCAAGGGTAGCTGCTTTCTTGGAGGAGTTTCCGGGAAGCCCTGCAGTGGAGGCTGTCTGTGGCTCTCACTGACGACCCTCTTCCTGCCCTTGGAGAGTGCACTGACATGGTGTTAGCAGGGACAGGTGTAGCTGTCCTTTGATTGGCAGGGGTGAAGTTCAAGCCTGGCTGTGGAGCCAGGACCTCCCATCACACACAGCCGGTGGGTAGCAGGCATGCAGCTCAGGGTGGTCTGCAGTGCTTTCAGAATTCCAAGCCACAGGGAGAAAGGTCGTCAGTGGAACATGAGCATGCCCCCAACTCCCACACACATCAGTGTCGCTAGGGCCAGGGAGGTGGCCAGCTGGATTGGCATGTGGAAAAAGAAAAAAATTCTCACATGCTAAGAGCCTCTACCTCATTCATGCACAGTGTTAAAGTGACAAGACCGTCTTTCTGGGGTGGAAATGGCCCCGGCAGCTATGCAGTTCTCCAGCCTGTCCCTGAGCAGATGAGCCTCCTCCGGGTTCCAGTCTGTGCCGGAGACCAGAGGTCAGCCAGGAGTCCTGGAAGCTTCTGAGAGAGCAGCCAATCTGATTAGTCCTCTCTCTCTTCACTTGTGTCTGGGAGAATGAAGGTAGAGTGTGTGTGTGTGTGTGTGTGTGTGTGTGTGTATGTGTACAAGTGTGTACTCACCTGTGCACATGTATGGAGGTCAGAAGTCAACACCGTTGGCAGTCCTCTATCAGTTTCCACTTAAATTAGTTTTGTTTTTGAAACAGGGTCTCACTATGTAGCCCTGGCTGGCCTGGAACTTGCTATGTAGACCTGGCTGGCCTCAAACTCACAGAGCTCTGCATGCCTCCCAAAGGCTGAGCCCCACTTTAATCAAAAACAATTTTTAAAATTAATTTTTGTACGTAGGTGTATT